ATATATATATATATATATATATATATATATATATATAAATACCTTCAGTATGGCAATAACTCTGAAAAACAATGAAGCAAAGACTAAAATGTGATAAATTAGCAACAACAACAGAAATAAGTATAATTGGAAAATAAAGCCTGTTTCAGAACTTTCACAAAAAGCTACAAAAAAAAAAGCCATTTGAACATAATGGTCTCCAATTTTAACTTATAGATTAAAAGGGAGGCAGCAAAACAACAGAACTCACTATTAACTCTTGATATAGTCTAATGAACTTTTCTATAAGGCTACTCAAAGGGTCATCTGCACACAGCCACCCCTTATTTTGAACTGATGGTCGAGAAGCTAGCCAACAGCTCCTATTGCCGACTGATGGGTGCTCTTATGTAACTGAATAGTAGGATTTGATAGTCACACTTATTTGGACTGAAGTTCTTTTTATTACATATTAGATGTAGTTATTTAACCAACTTCTTCACTTGAAACGTTTATTTTAAATTTATTACTTAATTTTTTGCTCTTTTTATTTCATACCAGGCTGCACTACGTGAGTGCTGACTTTTGAGAAATCTTACCTTGTTTGTCTGACGTGGTTTTCAATTAAATATTTTTCAGAAAAATTATTGAAATAACCATAATTATATTTTTTACTCAAGTTTTTAAATTTGATATACAAGCATGTGTTCAACACCTCAAGGGAGCATACCGGTGACATCAGGACAATAATTATTAAAAAATGTATTTTTATTTTCAACAGACTTTGAAATACATTTACTTACTTTCATATCTGCAATAGATTCCACTTTCTGCTGACTCTTAGTTTTTTTCTGGAAGTCCTCCATTAGCTCCTTAATGTTTGATCCAATTTCACCAAAATTTAAATACATGTTCTGCAAATGCCAAATATCTAATTATTATCATATTGAACGTTATACAGCTATCAAAAGAAAACTAGCATAGATCAATCCCATATTTTCTAATAACATGTGAAACTAAGACAGTTAATAGTACTTCAAGGACAGCTTTTTTTTTTTTAATAACTGATGACTTGTTAATCACAAAAGCTTTTCCATTAACCTCAATAAAATCTCTAAACTTCAGTTACTTAAAAGTGTATAACCATTTACATATAAGACAATGTCTTAATTCCTGTAACAACATTTTAGTTTGGTTTGGTTTGAATTTCGCGCAAAGCTACACAAGGGCTATCTGCACTAGCCATCCCTGATTTAGCAGTGTAAGACTAGAGGGAAGGCAGCTAGTCATCACCACCCACTCTTGGGATACTCTTTTACCAACAAATAGTGGGATTGACCATCACATTATAATGCCCCCATGGCTGAAAGGGCGAGCATGTTTGTGAGAAGGGGATTCAAACCCACGATTCTCAGATTGCGAGCTGAGCGCTATAATCACCTGGCCATGCCGGGCCCAACATTTTATTGTACAAGGAGTTTATACTGGAGGCTAAAGATGCAATCCAAATATATGAACTTGAACGATAATTTACAATGAAACAGAATGAATATCCTGTATATTCTCTTTCATGTTTTGTAATGAATAGTAAGTATGCACCACAATATTCTTTTATGTATGTATTTTTAACTGACTACTTAAGAATTCCTTTCAAAGATAACTTAAATATATTTAATATAATGTGTTTAAAAACAAGTTTCATGTCATCACCTCCACAAAATTTGCCAAAAGTCAAAAACTCCTCTCACAAAAGTTAAAATGCTAATACCATTAAAATATCATAACAACATAAGGCCCATAGTCTTGTGACTGAGAAACATAGACCTACTGTGACTGAGAAACAGAATGCCTACTACATGAAAATTACAATCAGTACGGGATCAACTATGAGTGTAGTGGGTGTTTTGTTTCTCATAGTTGGTCCCGTACTGATGGTATTTTCATGTAGTGGGTGTTTTGTTTTTGAAAACTACAATCAGTACAGGACCAACTATGAGAAACAAAAC